GGCACTGGGTTGGCTGAGATATTCATTCTGCAAACAATTTTTTTTTCTCATAATCAAGGCCATTATGTGAAAAAGTCAGTCTTAAGGAGTGTGAGGACACAGTTCATATAAAAATCAATGCAACCTTTCACTGAAGCATAAATCAGATCAGCTCTGACATATATGAAAATATTTGGGGAATGTTTAATGACATTTTTGTGTTCTTGTAAATTATTTGCTTTCGGTTGATTTTAGAAGCAGGAATAAGGGAAGGTCAGCTCATATCAGGAAACATCAGCAATTGAAACCACCAAGTTTCTCATCATAGTTTCACAGATCTTCATCTCTTATAGACCTTCCAATAAACTCACACACACAGAATCACAGGATCTTTAAATGTGGGAAAGACCTCCAAGATCATAAAGTCCAACCTTTCACCTAATACCACCATACTCCGTTTTCAAGCACATAAAAAAAAAAATCAAGCCAAATCTTTTTTACGCTTATCTGATCTCTGATCTGAGGGAGAGCTGCTAACTTCTTTGAGGCTCACCAAAACCTAACTAATCTCTAACTAATTTCCAAGATAATGATGCCTAGTCCCACTGAGCCATTTTTCCCCTTCAGAATACAATGCAATCATTAGTTAAAGCCACTCCTGCTGTGTGGAAAGTTACTATCCTCTTTGCTAACTTTAATAATTTTTGCTCCTGCATGCATATCCTTTGAGTTTCTTCTACTCAGGCAAAATTCCCATTCTGGAATTCACTCCTCCAAGTAATAGTGCTAAGGCATATTCTTTGGATTAAAAAAGAATGATGTGAGGAAAAGGAAAGAAAAGTTCCTGCACGTGTTTACTTGAGGAAAAAGTAGAACACTGTGCCTGGCTGACAGTCAAAGGTCCAGGAGCTGGAGTGAATCACACAGCAAGTAAATGAAGAGAGGACCTGCGGAAACCTGATGACATTTGCTTCCTATGGCTGGTATGGAGTATGGGAATCCTAGGAAAAGTGGACTAATAAAATGTGTGAGCTTTCAGGATGCACTTCAAGGAGGAATTTTTATATCTACAACAGTTTATTAGACTATTTAGCTAGGACTTGTGGAAATGGGAAGAAGTGCGTGCAGTTTGAAACCTTTGCTTTCCAGTGCTGGCTGGCTGAGGCTGCAAACACACCACTGTTCAAGGGGAGAGAACTGGGAGGTCAGTGAGCAGGTAAAAGGTATTTAAAATCAGAGGGCTGCATGGTTAAGAGCTGCTCCTCTGACTCTGTGAAAGTCAGGTACAGACCACTGCTATCAAAATCAAGTAGTGTTTGTTCTCTTAACTACAGAGAAGAAACAACATTTGCCCAGCAGTGAAGAGCAGTTCCTGTGGCTTTGGAGTCTCGAGCATTTATCAGCAAGCTTGGAAATCATCTAAACCTTATCTCCTTGTTCATGTTTCTCAAAAACAGATAATTCTGCCCCCTGAAGACACTGCTATCTTTATTAGGCAGATGAAGTAGACTTGGTGCCTGCTCTTCTTCAGGCACTTGCATTCCTGCTCCATGGAATTTTACTGGGATTTGGGCCATTACCATGGCCTGGGACTCCCTCCCTTGCAGAGCTGCTGTCCTTTACTGATAGGTCCTCTATCAATTATCTTGGCCTATTTATTACTTACATGCCATAGCTCCCTTAGCACATTTTGACTTGTTTCACTCTGAACTCACTATTTTCACTTGCCACTCTGGACTACACATTTGGTCATCCCCTTCTCTGACAGAAAACTGCAGACATTCTCTGCAATAAGTCAGCGGTTACTTTCAGGCATTTGGCTACCTATAATCCCCTTTCAGGAAGTAAACATGTTTGTAGGAAGTATTTAGTAGGTGAACAGCCCTCTCCTAGCCTGAGGTTTTGTTTTCTAATTTGAAATAATGAATTCCAGCCTTGACTCTGAAATCCGGAGTGAAATGAGCAAACATGTAGATTTAGCAAATTTTGCTTGGAGCACACATAACCCTCCCACACTGGGGCTAGGTACAGCTGTGGGTCATCCAAAGGACCCTCCCTGCCACAAGGATGTTGCCTTGATTCCTGCAGCATGTGGAGAGATGGCAAACTAGTTTTGGTCGGGTTTAATCCTAGCTCCACCAGGAGCTGAATCCCCTACATCGCTCAGTGCTGCTCCACCACTTGGCCGTGGAGGGAAAAGCCTGCTGGGATGTTACACCTAAGGGAAGCAGACAAGGCAGCAGCTGTTAGCTGGCGTTGTCAGGAAAACAGTTTGTTGGTGCACTGGGGGTCAGGGACATGGCAAACTGCCTGAGAGCAAGTGCTTGTCCTTGCTGGCTCTGCCTGTGCTGGTGCAGAGGGCCAGGCCCCCCATCACTCCTAACAAGGTTAATGGTGAGGCTTTTCTCAGCCTTAGTGGTTCAGATTGTACCTGCAATACAGAGCCCACAAACACAGAGAGAAGTTTCTCCAGAGGAGGAAACGCTGGGTTTTTTCAGGGCATATTTTGCTGTTTCCAAATATAAGCAACATTACGGAAGGCAAAAATAGCTAGATGTAAAAAATTAGATTGACTCTATTTACTCAAATATTTACTCAGGTTATAAGCTTTCACACCTTTCAAATACACTGCTTTGTATTCTAATTATTTCGGTCTCTGAATGTGATGAATCCTGGGAAAAAAATCTTATTCTAATCCCTCAGTGTTTTACACTTGTATAGGATGAACTTACTTCTTTGCCCAAGTAGAAAACTTGAGGAATAACAACAACCCAAATCTCTGAGTATATTTGGAGATTCAAACCTTCAAATCCACATTCCTGTGTCTCCATGTAAGGCACGACATCTCAGTAAGACCCTGATGCTCCCTCCTCTCACAGTGACAACGTTAAGTGAAATGCCCCTGAAGTTCATGGTGTGGCTTCCTGGAGAAAGGTGTGTCCAAGCACAGGGCACTGAACCCCCTGAAGTCAACAGGAGGTTAACTCAGACTGCAACTATTCCCAACAACCACGTGTTACAGACTGCTGGATTTTGTTTCAGTGATGAGCTTCAAGCACAGCCAAAAGTGAATAGAGGCACGTTGACCTCATAGTTTTGTGAATACAGACTGAGAGTCCAAGACAATTAAAAGCAGGGAATACGTGCCATCTCCAAACCCCTGGGCAGCCACTGCCAGGAGTTACCGCTGCCCCGTCCGACTGAAAAGACATTAACACCCGCTGCAGAGGAGCTTGGAAGGCAGCCATCCCCAATGGATTGCTTACGAGCACTGACTAGAGTCAAACTGACTTCAGTCAGAGATTTACACAAGCCTCATAATCTAATAGTAGAGTTTACTTTACGAGAGTGCCACACCAAAGATAGTAAAATGCAGTTTTAGCTAACAAATCTACATGCTTGCACAGAAAAGCTACAGCCATCATGGAGCATGTCAGCACTCAGAGTGCCTGGCGCAGATTTAGAGTTTTCAGTTTATTGCTGAAGAGTTATTGTTAACTCCATTGTTATAGACTTTCTGCAATTAAAAGTCTCAGTCACACATCATTTTTAAACATAGCTAATAAAACCCAATAAATCCTGAGATGTTAGAGGTTTTCCCGTGCCGTTAAACATCTGACTTTTTTTTTTTATGCTGGATTTTTGACCTATGTTAGGATAGATTTTGGAAGTAAATTGGCTGTTGTCAGCTGCTTTACTTCTGATTTGCTTAGATCTGCAAAATTTGTCATTTTTATTATAGTAAGAGTGAGGCAATACTTAGACCTTTTCCCTCATGCTTGCAACAGGTGATCATACAGCGTCTCTTACAAGTCATCTTCCAACCTTCTGTGCTCTTTGTGTCATAAATTATAAAGAATAATGGTTTTTGTTTGTTTGTTTTGTTTTAGCAATGACTTTTGGGCTTTTGTCCCATATGAGTAATGTTTTCTCTCTTTTCTATCAAAGCTTGGAGAGAATGGACTTTTCATTTTCTCTACAGGTTGTTACAGTTACAAGTTCTGACCATCTGTATTCACACCTTCAGAAAGGTATCAGGGTACATGGAGGAACCCAGACAGGTGGACAGAATAATTTTACCCTGTGTATTTCCCAGCACTTCATGAACTAGCCGCAGCAGCCTTGCAGTGAGCACTTCCAGGATCCAGCTTCTACTGACAAGGTTATGGATCTGCTTTTTGAATGCTTCAAGGTTAATCTTAGTCTCAAATTCCATGAACATTCAGAGATCCTAATGCCAAGTCAGTATATATATGTAGTGCAAATAGTATCTATTGAGATATAATATCCACACAAATAGTATTCCTCTTATAGGAGCAGAGATACTATAAAATCCAGACATATCTAGGATAAGAACAAATAACAGAAAACTCATACTCATCAGAATCAACCTCACTGTAAGAACATGGCTCTTTGCACCCTGAAATTCATTACAACTATTGGGACTGGCTCTTTGCACTACAAAAGAGTTTCACTATCTTTGAGATCGTCCCGATGGGTTAAGTATACAGACAGAGGAAGTAAGGAAAACAACATGCGTGATCTGGAATAGAGATTACTGAATGGAGGGGTGTGTACACACTAAGAACCAACATCCCTCTGAAAGCTTTGGGAGGCTTAGAGGCTTGAAACCCCCTATGTAGAAACGTGGATCAGAAACTTTTTATCAGGGTGAGCAGAGTTGTTCATCGCTGATCTCACCTCTTCCCATACACAAGAAAGGGGCCAAGTTTTACACCAGGTGAGATGCACCTTGGTTGAAGCTCTGGGCATACTTTTCCCCAGCAGTGTCATTTAACACACAACATCTTCAGGTTTCGCTTATCAAGTACAGCAGCTGGGAACACTGTGTCTTTAAAATTGTAAAGTTTCTGTACCAAAGGACACGAAATGCTCACACCCACATCTCTCTGCATTTTTCAAAGCCCATCATCTACTGCAAACTTTTGCAATCTGCACCAGAGATTTCATAGACAGAAAGAAAGAAAGAGAGACGTTTGGGTTTTAAGAAAAAAACTTACCAAAAATAACTGAAGTTCTCTAAAGTTGCCCTGAAGTTGAAATAGCCCAGAACACCCGTGCAGAGCCTGCCTTAAACTCTCTCTCACTCCCCCTCTCTCTCCAGCAATTGGAAGGAGGGCTGTGCTGAAATTCAGCAAACAATTTTCCTTCTATGTCGACCGGGGCGTTCCTCACGGGCAGAAAGGGGATGGCTGAGCCTGGGTGAGGCTCGCTGCTATCCCCAAGGCAAAGAGCACTGTCGCAGATTACACAGCCTGTGAAATCCAATCCCTTTCTCTACTCAGGCAACAGCTGTACGGCTTCAGCTGAGGCGGGAGCAGGGAATAGACCCTGGGCTTGGTGCTGGTCAGGATTTCCATGTCGGGGGACGCTGAGGAATGGGGGCACAGGGGTTTCCGTGAGCTCCGTGTCCTCTCCCAGCTTGCTGCCTGCAGCTGCAGGCACGGGCGCTCGCAGGGTGGAGATGCGGGGCAATTTCCGCGGGACTGGAAGTATATGGGATGTGGGCGCCCGAGCAAAACAAACATCTCTTTTCCTGAAATTCATTCCCAGCCTTGCTCCAGGACATAACTGGGTAATTAGCGTTGTAGGTATCGGTAAATTCTCATGCAGGCATGCACACACGCAGGATGCAGCCTGTCACAACAGCGCGGCTCAAACGCGATTCGAGTCTGTCCCAGTGTCCTCTCTAAGTTCGTTTTTCCTTGTCACTTTTAGTCAGCTGTTTGATTCTTTCCGAAAGCCCCCAGAAAGCTGAGCTGACAGTGCTTGCACCGAGGGAAGCGCTATGGTGGCTGGCAAGGTGACAGTGCCAGTGCTTAGCGCTGCCTTCAGCGTGTGCTGATACTCTGCACTTGAGGGAAGCTGCTAAACCCGGCAAAAACGGATTTATGATAATTCCCTCTCACCTGTTTCTATTCCACCCCATGTAAAGGATAGAAATTTGTAATACAGCTGATTCCTCTCTCCCCAAGGAATTCCACTGATCCTTTGACTCCCCCTCCCAGAAGCTTTAAGAAGTCACAGCAACAGATTTCAGCCCGGGTTTCCGTGTTTCACAGAAGCATCTGGCTGCTGGTTTGATTCTGTCAAACAGTGGTGAGGTGAGAGAAGGTGCAAAATACAAACAACACATGAGTAGCCCTGGGAGTGTCCTGCAATTGCTCCGGCTGCTGTGCCAACACCCAAGAGCAGGTAAAAAAACATTCCAGCCAAAGGAGAAGGGAAACCCCTATGTTTACAGAGCAGCCTGGTTTCGTGACCAGGCAGGTGCTGTGCTGGGGGGTTTTATGCTGTTGGTTCTGAATAGGTTTTGATACCTGAAATTCTACAGATGTTGGGTTTCTGGACCCAAGTTTGGAATGGGCTCACATGGTTTTCACAGAGGGTATTTAAAAATCTGAGAGGGAAAAGTGAGTGTGTATCTCTGATTCCATCCTATGTGGGTGCTTAACAGGCATTTTATGAAAACAGGGTCACACAACTACAGTATTTATAGTAAAGCCAATTATTTAACTTGTGCAATTAAAGTATATTGTTACATCTAATTATACATTATATATTAATTACAGATCATGGATATAACTTAATTTAGAAATACTATATGCAATTTTATCTAATTAATATATACAGTTTTTCAACACATGAACTGAATAACACTTCAGCAATTTTGTCTATTTATTATGCGATTCTATTGTATATCTATACAAAATAAATAATATATAATCACATATAATGTGTGATTATATATCTATAATCATATATAATTAATATAAATATGTTGTGAAGCAGTATGCAGTGCACATGCAACCTCTGCCATCTTGTGAGCATGGCATCCACATAAAGAATTAAAAGCAGTTGTTGGCTGTAGCCACTGCAAGGTGGTAAGGCTGTGAAGGAGGAAGATGAGGCAATGGGACAGTGTCAGCACAGGGGAAGTGAGAAGGTGGCACCTGAATTGTTGAAGGCCAGGCTGGGTGGGGTTTGGAGCAGCCTGACCTAGTGGAAGGTGTCCCTGCCCACGGCAGGGGCTTGGAGCTGGATGGTCTTTAAGGTCCCTTTCAACCCAAACCATTCCATGATTCTGTGTTTCAAGCAAGATGTCCTGCAGCTGCCTCAAGGATGGAGGTGCCAGAAGCAATGAAGGCTTCCTGAGGTGCAGTCAACAGCAGCAGAGTGAACTGAGCTGGCTGAGAATGGGAACAAGACCTTGCTAAGAGCTGGCTCAGGCTTGCTCTGCTGCCATCCCCATTTCTGTGCACTGTCTTTAGGACCATACCAAGGCCCAGCCTTTCTGAGCCACCTTACAACATCCTGACAAACAACATACATTTTTAGAAACAGGCATGCAAAACAAGAAGCCCAGCCTAGATCATGGATTGATGTGGGGACAGCTCACTGGATGCAGAAATGTGACTCCCACCTCCAGGTGAGCGGTGCCAGCAGCAGCACTCCAGCAGGGCACAGCCTGTGGGGTGGCAGCAGCTGCATGTGCTCCATCCCCAGCCAGTGCTGCACTTCAGCTGTCTTTGCTGACTATATGGATGGGCGTTGTTTCTATCTTGTAAGAATTTTTAAAGCCCACATGAGACAAACTCCTGGCTAAGCTGAGAGGAGCCAACTGTTTTTCCATAAACCTGAAAGAAATGACTGTCGGTTTTCATGGTATTGGGAAATCTACATTCACTGTCAGTGGCTTTTTTCCAGTTTCATCTCGGAAGTGAAGGTGTAAGTCCGGATGTCTGAGCACTGCCCTGCAGCTGTGAGCCCAGTGAAGACAACTGCTGTGTCAGAGATTTATCCCCACACAACTTCAAGCCTAAAATCTCCCCTCTTTTCAGCCAATATGGTGCTGTTCTGGGACTGTCAAATTATTGCAACATTATTTGACTGACAGGAATTCATAATGCTCACTTGGTTTATTTTTAAATATTTATCAAATCCACTGTTTGTCTGCTGAGCTATTGAAAAAATGCTATCAGACCGATAATTTCCCAATTCACTAACTGATTCTAGCACGAGTTATTCAGTGAGAACACTCCAAACAGCCCTTGTGTTTACTCTTCTTGACAGACATCTAAATATTAAAAGATAAAGCTCTTTGAGTTATGCTGCAGCAATATTAAAAAATATTCCTTTCTGCTCAACTGCGTTGCCAGGGAGCACCATTGTATCTCACATTTCTCTATCCCGTATCTAACCCCATTTCCTAACTTCCCTGTTTTCTCAACATTGTTTTCTCTACTTTGTTCACAGGTAAACCTACAAACACACAGTTGAATGACACAAGCTTTCTTTTATTAGTGCTACTCACACCCTGACCTGTGCATGGACTCATGTTAGACTTGGGCATAAGGGTGTGCTGCTTTAACAGTAATTGAGAAATGAGATTAAAAACAATGGGAATATTCCTGTGTTTTCTTTGACCCAAAGAGAGAGAGGCAGTGTGTTCCATGAGATTGTAGTAAAGCATGCTCTGGAGCACAAATCCCTGTAGTTTAATGTGGAGGATGCAATGGTGATAGTTTCTATTATTTTTCCTTTTTAGCATTTATGAATTTTCAGATATTTGGGGGGAAAATATGAAGCCACAAATTCCCACTAGTAGATAAGGCTGGGTTGCAGAGATCAGCTAGAGAAAGCAAACTTGTCTGCATAATTCTGAAGAGAGTTAAAAAATTGAGGAACTCCAGCTGAAAGAGAAATAGGCTCCTAAGAGAATGAACCACAGGAAAAGAAAAAGGAAGGGAGAGATAAGATCAGTGTGAACTCAAGATACAGAACAGTGGATGGAAGTGAACAGACTGGCAATGAAAGGAATGAATGGGTGGAAGCATCTGGCCACCAACTCTTAGTTCTAGCCCAGAGGAAGAAAAATGTAGCATGAATCACCAATTTAGACATCTCCCATGCTTTGTCTCCCATGACTGCATTTTGTTACGACACAGGAATGTATATATTTATCTATTTCACAGTCAGTTAGTTTGAACTGAAAAGGTATTTAAGCCAGCCACACTAACTTCCTCTTAATTTCTTCTCTTTTGCAATACATAAACCATTAATTTGATTGATTTGCTTCAAGATTTTTTTTTTGCATAAAGCTCTTCCATTTGTAGGTAGACATGCAACCTCACAGACAGAGAGAGAGCCAGGTATGGAAATGAGGTTCCATCACTGCCTCTTTTAAGAAACCTCAGGGTTGGACTGAAAGACCTCTTTCTGAAGTTAATCAAGTCAGATGAGTTCCCCCCCAAAAAAGTGAATGGGTGTCATTCATGTGTCTTGTAACTTAACTGAAGTCTGTCCTCCAAATAGATTGGTCTTTTCATCTGAGAATTTACCCAAAAGAGGCTCCAGTGTCTACCTGCCTGTGGCAAGTTCTACCAGCACTACCTGCTTCCTGCACTAACACCAAGATGCAACTGACAATATTTTGTATAGAAAGAAGTTTCTCCTTTGTGAAGATAAACAAATGTCAACTCCAGGTATCCAGGGCTGGAGTAGTAAAATCCAAACTCATGGCAAAATAACCCAAACAAACCCAGGGAAGAGTTGTATCTTTTCAGAAATTCAAATATTCTCTTCCAGGATCCTAAACACCTAAATTTTTTTTCACTTTAGTAGTTAATATTGTTTCTGATGAAAAAATAAATAAATAAATAAATAAAGAGCCTAAAAATGCAGCTCTACAACCAGCATAAACAAAAACCCCCAACAATGACAGAGAAAGCATTATTTAGAAATGAAACAAAATGAGACATTTCCAAGAGCACTCTTTTCACTAGCAGGAGGAGAAGAAAGAGGAAACTAATTCACCCCGCACAATTTCTTTTATTTTGTCCTCGGGCATATGCTCCATCTCTCTTTGTCCCCCAAATGCATTTCCACTGGCCCTGACAGTGCTGGCATTGACCTTCTGCAGCCAAAATAGCTGGGACAGAACGAAGCAGAGAAACAGGAGCCAGCCAGAGCAAGGGGCAACGCAGCCACGGCTACGGACCTGGGGGAAAACTGCTGCAATTGGCAAGGCTCGTACAAAAGCCATGTTTTGTACAGGGCACCCATGGAGCTGCTGCCTTCCTGGCCTGCCAGTGGCGTGTCACATCAGTCAGAGCCGAGGGGACAAAGCCACCGCCTGCAGAACTGTCACCCCCTGGGCTGAGGAGTCACTGCTGCTGCTGCTGGACATCCATCTCCACACTGTGCTGAGGAGGGCTTTAAAAGTTAGTATTTACCCCATGTTCCCCACAACCATCTCGCTCCCTGCTCTCTGCTGCTTTCAGTTCCCCACTCAAATGGAGTTCAGAGCTGGCTGACAGTGAGTCTTTATTATTTTACTATTTCAAAAGCTGTCATGTGTGAAAAGCAGACCTGGGCTCCTCCCTGAAAAGTGAATATTAGT